TGTAGTGCCCCAACGGTCCAGCAGATCAAAGGATAGATGCAAGTGAATGCAAAGTTAGATGTGAACCTGGCCTAACTAGTTCCCCTTTCAGACCTTGTCGTCTATAGGGCAGATGATGTCAAGTTCATCTGTTTTTGTGGCCTATGGTTAACGAGGGTGTCATGTAGCCAGCACAACGACCAACCACCTTTACTTTTCCCCAACTAATGTCATGTACCCATTAGAGCTGAGTGGACTCAGAGGCGCCCAAGGATTCCGAAGTTGAAAATCCCAGTCTTCACCATGATTCGAACTCGGGACCCCGGTTCGGAAGCCAAGCGCTTTACCGTTCAGCTACCGCGTCTCTCCAGACCTAACTGAAGTCTTATAATTATTTTTTTGTCTAAAAATCCAACAATAGTAACAGAAGTCTTATAATTAACGTAATTGTTTGCATCTACGCCTGTTACCATCACGCAAAAATTTCAAGAAAATGCAGTTTAGAAGATTACTATTCGTTTTAAATTAGGTCTAACTTATAATGCATACTAATTAGCCTTTTCTCTTTAAAATAATGCTTGTATAAGTGATTTTAAAATTAGATTTTTCGCTTTCAGAAAAAAAAAAAATAGCCGTTGCATCAGAACTTTGAATGGTCTAAAATATTGTGATGTCGGATTTTCACTATCTTTTCTAGTTTACGAGATCTAAACGGGACGGACGACAGACGGACAGACATTTCACACAAAACTAAACTGGACACAAGAAATGATTCTTTTTAATTGGTAGGCCCAAGTGGTAAATGGTGTAATATTGAAGCATATCAACTTAACAAGTGAAGTTCCCCTTTCAGACTATGCGGTCTATATGGCATTATAAGGGCAGATGACGTAAAGGTCATATGCTTCTATGGACCGTGGTTAACGAGAGTGTCATGTGTCCAGCACAACGACCAGCCGCCTTTACTTTTTCCCTATCTGATGGCAGGTACCCATTAAAACTGGCTGGAGGCGCCCGAAAAGATGCCGAAATTAATTTTCCCAGTCTTCGGCAGGATCCGAACCTTGGACCCTCCGGTTCGGAAGCCAAGCGCTTTGCCACTCAACCACCGCGCCTCCCAAATGAACAAACCTAAAGGTCAATGGACATAATGACAACATGTCCTTGTCAACCAGTTTGCTGCTAATGCTACATCCGAAGAGAATTGTATACGTTCTATCCTAGAGTCCACCGTATCCATTTTTAACCAACACACAGACACAATTTAAAGAGTTTTGAAGGGGGTCGTAAAGAGGCATGGGGGGGGGGGGGAGGGTGCGCTATTAGGTAAGAAGGCGTACCGATACACTTTCAACACCTGTCAATCAAGCTCGACATTTATGGACATCGTGCACTCAAGCCACGGGGCTCATCTTGCAGCTCTCCTGGTGGTACATCTCCTAACGTGCACCGAGCAACTCGGCTCGTCTGACGGCCCGCGAGGACGGTACATTTATTAAATCGCTGTCACAGAGCGGGATCTTGACGAGCCCGTCCGAGAGAAACAGAAGACTGGTTGGACCATCAGTGTCACCTCACGGGCTACAAACCAATGTCTTGTGCCAGACGGACCTTTTAATGCCGTGCCACTAAATGTCAATCCTCCCTCCCCCTTTTTCCGTTTGAAATGAATGTTTATGGGATGGGGGGGGGGGGGGGGGAGTAAAGACAAAGCGAGAATAAAAAAGTGTAAGAGAGAGAGAGAGAGAGGAAAAGAGAAAATGCTAAAAAAAAAAAGCGATGGAGAGAAAGAAAGAGAAGGATCAAAATAACAGAACGAAAGCAGGACCGGACTTAGATAACTGAAGGAAATATACAAATAAAAATAATAAACAGCGAACGAAATAATTACATAGTCTATTTAAAACCTAGTCAGGTTAGTGTACTCTGTCAGGGTTGGTTTTCGGGTTAACTAGGGTATGCTAAAGGTTCCCGGGCTCCCCACCACCTGAACAGTGTAAACCAAAACAAAGAATACTAGTAGGCCTATATGAACCACGAAATTAATTGAACAACGAATGAGTGTCATCGAAGCTAAGAAAGAACTATAACATCGATTTAAACAACAATTGCTCAGAACGAACACTATTTAATAATACATAATAATAATGATAATTGTTAAGTAACAAGATATTTTACTATGTATGAACTTCACGGTGGTGAACAGTACATTAATAATTGTTCGAATAGCAATAACACACCTTCCACACACACACTCCATCTCGGCGCCCTACAGGACATCAACTTCCTACACCTCCAACAGAGATAGCTAACGATACAGCACCAAAGGCGGAAAGGCGGCACTCTTTCCCATAGCCCAAGCCTAACACCCTGAAACGAAAATAAAACTTAGATCTAGCGATGCCGCCACAATAAAGAACTTTTTAATAGCGACACCCGTACCGAAAGATCAGCCTCCTTAATAAAACTATGTACTTACGTACAGTTAAAACGGGGAATCAGAAAATCAGCTAACACAAAAGCTCTCTCTCCTGCGGGAATTACGGATGACGTAAACACGCACACACACAATATTCTCGACACCAAAACGCACCTAAAACAAACTACTTCCTAGACATTAAAACACAACTATTAAACACAAAAAGGAAACGTCACGCGCGCACGACATACTTCAACGATATTATTGGGCACAGGCTTCGCTATTTCTTCTCTGAACAAATGGTTTTGAGACTTGAGTTCTGAGCGAGGCCCCCACCAATTGGAGAGCCTAGGCGGCTGCCTAGTTTGCCTATGCCTAAGGCCGACCCTGACGAAAGAAAAAAAGCCAGAATGAGAGACAAAGAGATGAAAGAAATAGAAAGAGAGAAATAGGAAAGAGAGAAAGTGTAACAGCGAAAAAGTGTGCACCAAAAAGGGAGATAAAGAGAAGTAGCGAGAGGGTGAGAGAGAGAAGAAAAACAAGAGAGGAAGAGAAAGAACTAGAGAAGAAAAAAAAGCGAGTTAGACAAAATGAAATGAACGAAAAAGTTATATAGAAAAAGAATCGAGAGTGTGAGAGAAAGAGAGTGTTAGTGGGTGAGAGATAGAGAGAGCGAGAGATTGTAGAGGAGAAAGATAGATAAACCGATTCATTTAATATGGTGTTAGATTATCATTAAGATCAACTTTGACATAGAGATTGAATCTATAAGAGATGAATGAAGCAAGCAAAAGATGCTAAATCTTGAAACTAGTGCAGCGTGTTCGATCTACAGTGGCAGTCAAAGGGAGACTATACAACTATATGTCAGGAGGCAAGAGTTGTCCTTCGTCATGATCATATATATGTTTTTATTTTTGGAGGTTTTAAATATGGGCCAATTAACACTCCTATACAAATAATTTTTAATGATTAAGAATATCTGCTTTGTCGTTGGTGACCTGACGTCTCAATGGTCGGGGGTTCGAATCCTGCCCTCTGCCATCCCAGCCCTCCTGGAGGATATTTAGTTCCAGTCTGCAAATGTTATCTCTAAATTAGGCTTAGATTCTTCTTATCTTATCTTATATAATACAGACGTTACTTCAAAAAAGAAGATGATTACGATTCGATACACAATAATATTTCAAAACTTAAATTTTACTTTGCGTAACATCTTTTTCTTGGTGATCTCCCCTGATTAAGTGAGCCCTAGTGAAACTGCTAATTACTAAGCATTGTTGCCTCAATTCAGTGAGACTGGAAAGTCCTCTACTTACTTAATGTACATTTAAATGTGTGTTCATTCCTTATTTCTTCTAAATGTCCTTAAGTCCTATGTGTTAAAAGCTTTTTCACTATTTTTTTTTATTTCCCAGAGCCAAAAAAAAAAAAAAAAAAAAAAAAAAAGCAACTGTATATAATGTTTAATTTAAAAGCACTATCTGTTAGGTGATACCAGTAAAACAAAGAGCTTTACTTCTGTTAGGTAATACCAGTAAAACAAAGAGCTTTACTTCTGTTAGGTAATACCAGTAAAACAAAGAGCTTTACTTCTGTTAGGTAATACCAGTAAAACAAAGAGCTTTACTTCTGTTAGGTAATACCAGTAAAACAAAGAGCTTTACTTCTGTTAGGTAATACCAGTAAAACAAAGAGCTTTACTTCTGTTAGGTAATACCAGTAAAACAAAGAGCTTTACTTCTGTTAGGTAATACCAGTAAAACAAAGAGCTTTACTTCTGTTAGGTAATACCAGTAAAACAAAGAGCTTTACTTCTGTTAGGTAATACCAGTAAAAAAAGGGCGTTACTTCTGTTAGGTAATGTGACGATCACACTTGCCGGGGATTATATTATCAATACTTGACAATTCAATGAAATGAAGAAAGAAACATCTCTCTGTAACTTCTTCAACTTTCACATCAAATTAACTTCTTAATTCAAAAACAATTTGACATGATACTTCATAAATAAAACTTAAATGATACATAAAACTTCACTTAGTATAACTTCAACAACTAAAACTTAACTTAATGGACCCGCTAATATCATAAAACTTAATACTTATCGAGGACTGTGCGAGGACCAACGTTCTACAAGAACTACTACTATGCGAGGACCCCGTCTAACTCACTTTCCCTTAATTTATACTTTCTTTTATCGTACGTTCCAGAATCATGGAACCTTCTCAGATAATTATTTTAGTAACTTTGACCTTCTAGAAGCTGACGTGTGCTATTTTTTTTTCCCTTAACCTCTTTCTTCGATTGGATATTTAAAATTAACTTGTTTACGCTGGACACTTGCACTGGTTTGAACTCGAGCTTATAGAAACTGGTCGAAATAGGTCACAGACTCGACTTGTGACAGTTAATACCAGTAAAAAAAGGGCTTTACTTGTTAGGTAATACCAGTAAAACAAAGTACTTCTGTTAGGTAATACCAGTAAAACAAAGAGTCCTACTTCTGTTAGGTAATACCAGTAAAACAAAGAGCTTTACTTCTGTTAGGTAATCTACATTTTTATCCTTCTCCCTCTCACATTAATAACAAAGAGACAGATTAATAAAGATTTGTTTTATTCAATAAATTCTTCATTATCATAGGATGAATTACACAAACAAATGAGCCATGTACCACTACAAACTGATGCAATTGGGAGGGGGGTGGGGGATCCTATATACATAAAATATTAAACAAAAAAATTTCCTTATTTAAAAAGATATTGATAAAGGGGGGAAAAGATGATCTATGCATAAATGTCATTTCGTAGACAGTGATGTGCTATGTATCAGTTGCCAGATGGTACATGAGAAGACAAATAAAATACAAAATGGCTTCAAAAAATAAATGAAACAAAAAAGAAGGCAAACCAATAAATGTGTAAGCAATATAAACATGGTTTGTATCAAAGAGTCAAAACAAAACAGCAAACTATTGGAGAGATAGTATTAAAAAACAGTTTAGTTGGCGACAGCTGTAACTTTTTTAAAAAAGTAAAGAAATGATTGTTGAAATAGAAAATAAATTGCTAGGTTAAAAATCATACAAACTATCTAATGTAGTAGTATTTTATTCTAGGGACAAACAAAATTGCCCAATACTTTGCTGTTCAGGCCATTTCCATTAGACTTTGATTTTATCAAAACTATAGAAAGGAGACCCTCCTCCCCCCATAAGAAAGATTTGAAGAACAAAAAATTTAAAATGCGAATGAAATGAAGCAGTTTTCTAGTTTGAAAAATGTTAAATATACAAATCAACAAATCGAATATGTAAAACATACAGTGCTGTCACGTGATGGTCCAGTGGGATGGTCAATACTATAGTGTAAATGAATCTGACAATGGTTTGACACTTCAAAAAAAAAAAAAAAAAAAAGGTAGGTGGCTATGGCACCAAAGAACAAGACGAGAGCTCTGTAGATAGAAAACCCAAACACATACATCCGGAGTTGCATGTCAGTTGAAACTACAACCCAGACACTAACTATTGTTACTTTAACAGTCCATCACAATTTTTTTTTTATACCAAAGTACTAATTCTGTTAAATGAAAGTAAAAACGTTTTTTTTGGGACTAACCAACAATTACTTACAAAGTGTTTGGGACTTGTATGGTTACATACAATGTGTTTGTTAGAAACACAAGAATGGTGAAAACTACTTCCCTCAACAGGCAAACACTAACTTAACCCATTTTCAAAGCCATTGTCACCTGACCAACAGAACAATTTTCCAGCCTTGAGTCAGCTCATACCAGGTACTGATGAGAGCTGAACAAAACGAGAGAGCTGAACAAAACGAGAGATCTGGTCCAAGTCTCAATGTTGGGCTGGCTAGAGGCACTCCACCTCACTTAAACTACAATGCTCCATTGTACTAGTTCTCAGCTCTTCATTTTCAAGTCCATTTACTAACTGAAGCCTGATGTGAACAAAAGCTGATGATAGCATCTGATGACAGACCACAATACTAACAGACAAGAATAAAAAATAATTGATTATAAATTTTATAAGCCCCCCCCCCCCCCCCCCCCCTTTTCCTCAAGATTACATAATGTACAAAATTCAATCTGTATACCAATTAAAAATCAATGAAAAAAATTGCCAGAGTATAATGTGTCTCTAATAGATTTGTTATTGAAGGGCAACAATGACCTATACAGTAGAATCAGGGAATACAACAAAATTCAATGAAATCAAATTATAAAATGATAGTACATAGTACATTTGTTTTTCCTTAACATAACTACACATGAGTCAGAACACAAATGGTCATCTCCAAAGAGATGAGATCAACTAGGATGACACATTGATATGTGAATGTATCATATCGTGATTTTATCCTAACTACATTCTCAAAACATATGTAGCCATGACGAAAGAAACCAAACAGTAATAAACAACAAGGTGAAAAACTCTCAAACAGCTGCACGGTCCATCCACTCAAGGAACACATGAATGTCCAATGTTCAACAAATTATTATCACGCTGACTCCAATACGTCTATCACCTTAGTTATGTTATTCACATCTGTGCTACCAAATGCGGTCTGAAATATATAAAAATAAAATGTTACATTTAAGGAATTTGAAAACACTGACATTTTATTTTGTTTCTTTTCATTTATAAATAATTAGGAACCTTTGTTTACATATCTCATACATATTAATTTTTAAAAGACTCAAAAAACAAAGATTTACTGCTGCAGGGGTAAACGACTGTATGTATGTTTTTTGTATTTTCTATATTAATTTTTAGAATCAACTTACCGTAAGACTCATAAAGTTCAGGAATTTCTTTAACATTTTAATCATGGGACCAAAGTCTTCATGTGGAATGAGTTGTTTCACTGTTTTGGCATACTCCTAAAGATACAATACAATCAACACCATTATTCAAAAGATAATACACTTAAAACAGTTTTAGTTATGTGTTCATTTCTCTGTTCTTAGCTATTTAACTAACAGCTACCTTTTCAAATTATACAAAAGTCTGTATAATACCAAACAATTACACAAAACAAAAAAAGTTAAAACATTTATATTTAAATAAGTGTACTTTTCCTTCAATCTAAGAAGATAGTTTTTAAATTGATTAAAACATGTCTAATAAAATTTATAACAATCATGGAGTTAAAAAATTAAAATGTCACACACCTTATTATTGATGATGGTTGTTCCCAATAAAAGACCTGCATAAGATGCCACAATGCTGTTTTCCATATGTTTACCAGCTTTTAAAAGAGCTGCAAGAAACAGAAATTTGCAAGATAAGAGATGGACTTAAAAATAGAATGTTTGATCAAATATAGCTAGCAATAATAACAAGTTTGTTTCAGAACTAAAGCTTCAAACTCCACCTTGTTTAGCAGCCAATATTCCTGTTTGGAAATTTGCAGGTCTGCTCAACAAATTCAATTTAAAATAAAAACAAAGAGAAGGATTTACTTTAAGCCAGCCTCCAATTATATGGATATGAAATTATAATTATCCAAAAAACTATCCACTTAAATAAGAGAAAAATAAATTTAAAGGAATAACTTGTGCAACTGACCTCGGGTAAAAGTTTCTTCATCGTCCTCCAGAATAGTCTGATTGGCATCTTCACCCTCCACACTTTTGTTAGAGCCAGATGGTGCCATGCTTTTCTCCCCCTCCTCTTCTCTGGCCTTCTTCAGACTGTTAGTGATCCACTGGATGCCAGAGTCTGACTCTTTCCACTCTCCACTTTTGTTAGGGGACTCGGCTGTAGTTGTGTCCCCTGAACTTATTTCTCGGTCTTCCTCCAACTCACGGGCAGCCTGCTCTCTTTGAACAAATAGCTGCCAAACATAAAACATAGGAATGTGTAAAGATTCTAGACTAAGGCTAATGCTAAAAACTGAAGCTAACAAAAGTGTAAAACAACTGCATTCATCAAATAGCCAGACAGTAGACCAGAGTCTATTCATGTCTACTACTTTATTTTCATTCCTCTGTAATTTAAAAGACATAAGAAAAATTTACACCCTAATAGGTATTAAAAAATTGGCGGGAAAAAAAAGCAATTTCAATTTTAATACTTTTCACATTTGTCTCTAGTTGAAAGCTAGAGACCAGTTGCTGTCTATTTGCAGAGCCTCCTTGGCATGTTGGATGATTTAGGGTGGTTAGAGAAGAATTTTATTTGTAGTTTTTTAGGCAATCTTAGATTACGTTTTGTTTCAACAAATGATTTATTCAATATCTATATTTATAAAGAGGGTGTGATGGTAAAGCACTTGGCTTCTGAACTAAGGGGTTTCAGGTTCAAATCTTGGTGAAGACTCTAGGATGTTTTCAGATGTTTTAGACTCCATTGTGTGACATCTCGTTAACTGTTGGCCTTAGAAACTCATCTGTCCTATTGATTGCAATGTCTAAAAGGGATACAAACGACTTTGAAAAGTAAAAAAAACAAAAAACCGAAGGTATGATCAACTCAAGTGGACCTTACTTGCACTACAGCCTTAATAGCACTCATTGTTTTGGGCTGCTCTTTCTCTGTGTACTTCACTTGAGTCTCCATCTCCATCATAATTTGTCTGTTGGTTTCTCTGTTCTCTACCAAGTTGATGAGCAGGCCCAGACACTAAAACAGAACAAGATCATAGTGTACCCTTCCAACAAGAAAAAGCTCCATTGAACAGAATATATAGGACATTTCATTAGTATTTGATAAACTATTCATTAATACAAAGTACACAGGTATAGATGTGTAACACTTCACTTACCAGGATGGCCAGGTCAAACCTCTGCTCTATTGGAACACACCACTGCGTGGTAGTCAAACACTTGACTATTGTGGTCATTAAAGATGTCTCATGTGTTGAGTCTAAACCTCCCAATACTAATGAAAAGAGAAATCAAATACATGCTCTTAGGACCAAAATACACATGTGCACAATGAAGTTTGACATGTTAGCCAAATAAAAAAATATCTGATGACATTTTTTTTCTACCTTAGACAAATATTTTGACATGATGACTCACTGAGTTAGGTGTAAACTAGCAAAATGAGATCTAGAATTTAATTTTAGCCTTCAAGCTTTTTTCATTTAGTCTGCTTTCTACCTATTTGGGAATTCTAAAGCCAATAATTTATTGGAGGACTTGAAATGCCTAAGCATCTTATTACTGTAAGCACTTAATGAAGTGACTGAATGTCTCTTGAGGTTTGAGAGGCATGTTCTCTGACAGAATGAACTATGCATGCCAAGAAATGCAATGACACGAAGGCCAATTCGAGGAAAGCACAAGCAGTGACGTCCTCGTATAACTTGGCACCAAACTTTCATGGAGGACACTGTTGTGATGTTATGGATGCCATTCTCAGCTGCACCATATTATAATGTATTAAAATATACAATTTTATTTAAAGAGCATCAAATTTTCAAAAACTTGATAATTTATTTTTGGAAATAAAGCAACTTAAAAAAAAAAAAAAAAAAAAAAGTTGACTTGGCCAGTTTTAATTGCTGATAATCTAGTCCATAACAAGAACTTTCAATTCAAATGGTACATAATGTTCAAGGAATGCATTAGAAATAATAATAATAATAATAATTTTATTTATAAAGCTATGTTAACAAACAAAATGTAGGCTCAAGGCGCTGTAACAACATTACAAACACAAACACAAGAGCCAACATGACAAACTAATCTAAAAAAGTTTTAAACAGATAGGTCTTAGTGTTCTTCTTAAAAGTGGTGTAGCATGTTGTCTGTCTGAGATCAATGGGGAGTGAACTGAAAAAGCCAGCAGACCGTATCTTTTGAGGAAGAAACATGGCACTACTAAAAGCGTTAAGTCCATTGAGCGCAGGGCTCTCTGGGGGACATATGGAGTAATCAGTTCTCTAAGGTACAAGGGCATATCATTGTTATATATACACTGATGACAAAGTGTGGCGACCTTGTAATCGATTCTCGCTTTCACGGGAAGCCAATGGAGCGTGCGCAAGAGCGTAGTAGCAGAATCTTGTCTATTTTTTTAAGGACTATTCGAGCGGCGTTGTTCTGTATACGTTGCAGCGTGGCTATTTTGTCATCAGATATACCTGCTAGCACAGCGTTGCAGTAGTCAAGGCGGGAGAGTATGAATGCCACAGCTAGCGTTTTTGTTGACTCCGTTGTTAAATATGGTCGGATCTGGCCTAATCTGCGCAGTTGCTGATAAAGACCTTTGCAGAGCTGACTTATGTGTGGGTCGAAAGATAGTGTTGAGTCGAAGAAAACTCCAAAATTCCGCACTACATGGACAAAAGGAACATGGCAGTTCGTGATAAAGAGAGAATCTGTGCTTTCAACTTTTGAGACATTGTTCCTAGTGCCAATCTTAATTATTTCTGTCTTGTCTTCGTTCACCTTGAGTTTATTTTCAACCATCCAATCGCTCACCCTTGCAACGGTACTACTGATTTTCTCTGCCAGATGCGACACCTCTGAGGGACCTGATGAATCGTATAACTGTGAGTCATCGGCAAAGAAATGGTATAAGATACCGGTTGGCCGTATGACACCGCTGAGTGGATATGTGTACATAGTGAACAGTACTGGGCCTAAGACTGATCCTTGGGGTACTCCGTACTTCAAAAGTAAGCTTTTTGATTCCATCCCGCTAACAACGACACTTTGGGTGCGTTCTGTCAGGTAGGATCCAAGCCACTTTAGGACACCTCCTGCTAAACCAAAAGTTGCAGAGAATCTGGCCATCATAATTTCATAATCTAGCGTATCAAATGCTGCGGACAAGTCCAGCATGGAAAGAATTGATATGTGGCCTTTGTTGGAATTGTGAAGTAAGTCGTGTAGTACCCTGACCACTGCTGTCTCTGTGCTACGGCACTTCCTATATGCGGATTGAAATTCTTCCAAGAGACAGTACTGTTCAAGATGAGAAAGAATTTGCGCTAATTCGATGCGCTCCAGAAGCTTTGACAGGAAGGGAAGATTTGATACCGGGCGATAGTTTTTTTGACATTCCGGGTCAAGACTGGATTTCTTT